CCAATTCCATAGAGTCTTCCTCTACCTCCTTGCTCCCTACCAGGTGGCCCCATGTGGCTTTCCTTGCTGAGGTGTGCTCGTGTATGCCATATACCAGCACTGTGGTGCCTGCGCTTAGCCTCCGCAGCTGCTGCAATCTTTAAAAGGGCAGCCAGTTGCTGTAGAATGAGAGGGATCATAACTTGACTTAATGATCTCCCCAGGACTGCTTTTGTTTAATGATCCATTCTGTTTTAGGTGATGAGAGAGAGAGAGAGAAAAAAATCTGCTTCTATCTGTAGGCAGCCAAACTCTATGCTGTAAGATCGGAGTTAATCCTAGGGTAGGAATTGCTACATGGGTGGACCTGAGCCCAGGATAGGACAGTCATTTGGGAAACTTAGGGCAAACCCCCATCCCATGTAAGTCATACCTTCAGTAGGGGGAGGAAGAAATCTGCCAGACATGATGGCAATGCTTTGGCCGAGCGCACAGCTGGGCCCTGGCTCTCTCCCTGATGTGCTGCTTAACTGTTGTTAGTAAGCCTCTTGACCCCGGCATTTCCTCAGAGTTCTAGGATAAGGATTTAGATTTTCAACTTAACTTTCCTCAAGGCTAAATTAAGCAAGTGACCAAGTGTGAATTCCATGAAGGCAGGCCCAGTGGAGAAGAGCAGGCATTGGAGTGTCTGCCAGTAGGAATGAGAACTCCCTCTTTTGGTGTTGAAGAGGTTGTGATGTCACTTAGTTTATGGACATTCTTGCAGTGACCCTAAATTACAGATTTTTAATTTTATGATTCAACAGAAAGCTGAATTAAAATGAAATCTCTGTTTTTATTGCATGGAGATCACTTGTAAAGTGTTCATCAAATGGATAATATTCTTTAACCTTTGGCCTATCCCCGCGGCATGCTGAGGTCATTTCTTTGCCCTGTCCGTGATCAACAGGGGCCCGGTAGGTCAGGATAAGTTTCATTTAAGGGTCTTATTATTAATCAGACAAGCTGTCATTGTTCCTGATATGATGCGGAAAGGGAATGTCCTAGACCCATCTCTTTTCTTACCTTGTCACCATCAAAATTCCCATTTCCTGGGGCTGATATCAGTGGCGCAGTTGGTTGAGCTTCCAACTCTTGGTTTTGGCTCAGGTCATGATCTCAGGGTTGTGAGATCGAGCCCTTTGTCAGGCTCTGAGCTCAGTGGGGCGTCTGCTTGAGTTTCTCTCTCCCTCTCCTTTTGCCCCTCTTGCTTGTGCTCTATCTCTCTAAAATAAATAAATCTTTTAAAAAATTTCCATTTCCCTCATCTTCCCTTCAACTGAATGAGAGGTTAAGGGTCATGTCTTTTTCAAAAGACTCTTGAAAAATGTTGCCCAATACCCTCAGCTTTCCTCATTTGCACTGGGAACCATAGGGTTTGTGGTAAGGAAGATAGAACCACTGTGCGATAGGCTTGAGTTATGTGAATACCACAAGTAAAATCCCAGGACAGTCTAGCCTTGCATTTAACTTTCTCCCCGTAGCCTCTGTCTGAGAGCTTTAAAGGCTTTCTCAGATATCCAGACGACCCGGGGAGCTAGATTACTCCTGTGTTATTCACTCTCACTTTACAGAACAGCTGAGGCATGCAGCATACTTTGCTTACTTGTTTGGAACTCAGGCATTGAGGAATTCATCTATGAATTTGCCCCTCCAAAGAGAAATGAGAAAGACTCCACTCACTGTCACAGATAGGAGCCATGTCATGAATGGTAATTCTTTATGATCAGTTAAAATATAACAAGATTTCTATTCAGCTTTCCCCATGATAGAGGATTAAACAAACAAACAAACAAACCAACACTAATAGACATGGCTGACAAGTGCTCTCAGAGAGGGAGGCCAGTGGCAAAATGGAGTTCTTTCATTTGGAATACCTGCTGCTGGCCAACTACAGAGGGCAAAATCAAGAGAATGGCGATGAAATGATGGGAGTGTTAGTGCCAGCATGCTACCTTGTTCTGGCGAACTTCCCACAATGAGTGGAAGATGATGCGTGACTTACATTTTGTTTAAATGATAGATGCTTTATTTGATACACAGCACGAGTAATTATTACCCTGAAACTTGCCCCTCATCGTGATCTACTTCATAACATTCTTGTGTAGAGTCCATCTGTGTGATTTGTGTTGCTGTGGTCCTATTTGGTTGAGATTGTAAACTCTCAGGGCTCATGAACTATATTGCTCAGGATCTAGCAGGGGAATGGCTGTGTTTAGGAATTTAATTAGGACTTATGGGGTGCCTGGTGGCTCGGTTGGTTAAATGTTTGCCTTCGGCTTAGGTCATGATCCCAGGGTCCTAGCATCGAAACCTGCGTTGGGCTCCCTGCTTAACAGGGAGCCTGCTTCTCTCTCTGCCCCTCCCTCATTCCCTCCTCCTCTGCTCTCTCTCGCTATCTCTCTCTCTCAAATAAATAAATAGAAATCTTAAAAAAAAAAAGACTTATGCCTAGTGACGGTAAGGAAGAGCTTTTGACTAGAAATGATGCTAAATACTGGAATACTCAGGTGAGGGAATCCTGTTTTCTTTGATTAGTAACAATAGCATGATCTGTCAGTCAGGACTTTGCGACTCAAATTTTGTTATGACCAGAGGCAGGGGGACATACCAGATGACTTTGTTCCTTTTAGCCTGGAGGTCGAGTGAAAAATATTTCAAAGGCAACTTTGTACTTTGGATCTTTTTCTCCCTCATCAAAAAAAATTTTTTTGCACTTGAAATTTTCAGTGTCTATAATGTGCTAACGGGCTTTCCTCCCATTTAAAAAACACGTGTGGATGTGAGAATGTTCTTCTCGAGAAAAGACGGTCTCTAGGGTTTTGTTTCTGGCTTGAGGTTCTATGAGGTAGGTGTTATGAAACCTCCCCCGCAGCAGGCTGGGGTGCCAGTGAACCTCGGCGGAGGTCAGCAAATCTCCTGCTAATTTGGGCAGGAGAGGGAAACACTCAGCCACTTTGAGAGGAAAGAAGGTAAATTTTGCGATCCATTTGCAAATCAAGGTAGAATGAGTTTTCAGAGCTGGACATGTGTTCAGAACCTATCTGTTCTCTACTACCATCAAACCTGGTAGGAAAAGAGTAATCCAAGCTCATGTTTTTCAGCCGGATAATTTGAGAGTGTAAAGGGGGCAATCGAGAGAGCATATCAAGGAGGAAGGAAGAGGAGGGGCCAGAAGAGGGTTGGAGCTGTCCTGTGCTTTGGATCACCAATGGCAGCATGGTGGCCCCAGGTTAGGATTTTGAGAAAGAATCAGGAAGAAGAGAGAGAGAAGTGGACATCTGATACCCAGTAGCTGGTCCTTTACAGTTTAAGCAGGGGGCATACTAGGCTCTCCAGGAACGATGAGTAGAGAGGGAACAACCCTCCATTAGAGAGTGCAGGAAGACTGAATGGGAGTGATGCTCTTTTGGTTCTAAAAGTAAGGAGAGGATTAGACCAGAGCTTTTCTAAGGCATCTTACATCTCCCATATCCCAAGTTTCCATGATTTCCTTTTGTAGCAGGCTGAGTTTTATATAATTATCAAAGGGAAGATAGAGTTATCTTTTGAAAAATTTTTTTATCGTGGCCTGAGAAATTACATAGCTTAAGTTCACTTATTAAAACTCATTAACTCATCAGCATGCACACTTTCTCAAGCCATGATGACTTCATGGCTTAAGTGAAAATTTCATACTCCTTTGGAAAATTGAATTAGCACAGCCAAATCAGCAGAAAAATTATCTTTGACCAGTAGATGTTATTTCTGTATCATTCTTCTTTGCCTAAGAAAATAATGACTCTGAGACTTAAGCTTGACGACTAAGAGTAAAAGCCAATGTCTACCATTTGTTCTCGTGGTCCCAGAAACTGTTTCAAGATGTTTTATATGCACTAATTCATTTAATCCCCAGAAGAGCTCTGTGGGATCAGTAGGTACTAAACCCCCATTTAGCCAATGAGGAAATTGAAGAGTACAGAGATTAAGCAATGTGTCAGGGCTAGGATTAGACTTTGGGTCCAGCAGCTAACTGAGATTTTCTGTGAACCAACATGCTTCCCAGCCTCCTCCTCTTCTAGATGGTCAGTGGAATTGACCAGTGTGGGCTGCATGCTTCATGCTTGCGCAGAATTAAGGGTGTGACACTCTGGAAGTAAGAGAACTGCTTGGTATGTTAAAGCATGAACAAGAAGCCTTAGTTTCCATTAAGTGTAAAATGGGTCCAAAAGATATGTTATACCATAAGTAGATCACTTATTTTTTGAATACTGCTATTAAGAATTAAAGGCTAAGCAAGATCCCTTGGTTTATAATTCTCTATATGTAGATAATAGCAACACCAAAACCTAACAGTGAGTACTGACTCTGTCAGGCACTGTTGGAAGTCTTTCACATCTATTAATTCATTTAACCCTAAGAGCAACCCCATTGGTACTAATATTTTCCGGATAGGGAAAACTGAGGCCCGGAGTTGTGGAGAAACACATCTAAGAAGTGGCAGAGCTATGTAGTGAGCCCGTTATTCTAAACTGCCTCCAGCACTGGGCTTTGGCAAATCCAAAATATTTGCTTCTGTGATGAGAACAGGACTCACTGTGCTTAAGGATGGGATGAGGCCAACTAGTACTGGACACTGGGCTGTGTCTTCTGTGAATGCTTGTGTATTTGAACCAGGTGATGCTGGTCAGTTGTGTCTCTCGTCCTGTGGGATCTTTTTCTAGGGATGAGGCATAGAATGCCTCCTCACAAAGACTCCCAGTGGCCATCCGTGGGATGCCGAATTCATTCTGCTCCATGGCATTCCATTCTTGACACTTTCTCCTGAAATAAGAAAACTTGTTTTGATTTTTGTTTTTGTTTTTTGTACTTTTATGCAATTTGTAAGCTACTCAATTTCAAGATTGTATTTCCTCATATCATGTTCAATGAATGCTCAGTGGGTTTAAATATGGTATCAGAACTTTCCAATGGTGCTTATGGAATGAAACAAGGCTGAAAGAAATTAAGGGCTTCCCCAAATTCACATGAAGCTTAAGTTTCTTGAGGACAAGGACTATCTTATTTGATCCAGGACTCAGCTGTGATAAACCAGTGGTCCTATTTCCATTCCTGTTTGTGAGAGCTTGGGAGGGGGGTGGTCCAGAGGTTGGGTAGGGAGTGGTCAGATGAATAGGAACCACTAGGAACACAAACTGGAAAGAGAAACTGAGATGCCATTGCCGATGGCAGAGAGGACACAGATGCCAGGCAGGTAGAAATGGCAGTGCCCGCTCCTCTTTGAATCCTTAACACCAGTCCTAGAGTAGGCTTTCAATAGTATCTGAAAATAAATGAATGGATCTGTACTGTTCTTTCAGTCGATGTCACATTCAGAGCATGGAAATATCATGGGGACCATTAAAGATGGTGAAGACCTCACGGGGGAGGTTGGACTTAGGTTGGCTTGAGGTAGAGAGTAGACGTGAAGAAGGAGGAGGGCTCCTATGTAGAGGGAACTTTGGACAAAGGCAGATGCACCTGGAATACTTAACCTCGTCAACTGCTGCAATTTCCTTGACTTCTGTAATATCTTGTCTGCCCTCCAAATTCCTGAACTGAGGGAGGGTTTTCCTCACTAAGCCAGTGCCAGGAAAACCAAGGCATGATTCTTGTTAGCTACCCTTGTACCCATCTCGGCCACTGTTTGTGGACCTTGAGTCTAACTTGTTAACTGCTTTGATTTGCTTACATTATTCATGCATGTTGAGACATTGGTGTTTGGGCTCACCCAACTGGAGTTTCCTTCCAGGTTAACATGTTTGTTGAAGGATTCCACGATGCCATCCTCCTCTATGTTCTGGCTTTACATGAAGTACTCAGAGCTGGTTACAGCAAGAAGGATGGAGGGAAAATTATCCAGCAGACTTGGAACAGGACATTTGAAGGTGAGGATTCGGTCTGTAAGGCGACGACACTGTAGGTGATCAAGCTGCTTCTTCCTTGGTTCTGCTTTTCTCTCTCACACCTGTGGGACATTGTCAGTTTCTTGTTTTTCTCAGCTGTAAAGTAAGGATAGTAGGTCAAGATCAACCCACCTCACAGGCTTGTTGTGAAAATTAAATGAGATAAAGCTTGTGAAAGTGCTTTGATAGAGTCCTACTGATAGAGGAAGTGCCTCGTCTCCGTCTGATTATTAGATAACAACTCTATGCTTCTTCAAATTAAATTTATCACAAGCCTCATTCACAACAAATAATCAGTTTGTGAAAAGTTCTGTGATCAGTTTTAAAAGAAATAGTACTAGATACATACATTCATCTGTTCAATCCTGGATGGTTTGGGATGATAAGCAAGTCCAAACAAGTCCTGTGCTTTTATTTTATTTTTAAGATGGTGACTATCAGCTGTGGCTTTCTTAAGAACAGGGAAGTATAAGAACCACGGCAAAAAATGGCCCATAATCTCATCACTCAAGCAACCTCTGTTGACACTGAAAAATTGTACAAGAATGAGACTACTCTTGGCTGGAAAATTTAAACAGTACAAAAATGTTCAAAATGAGAAGTGAAAGTTTTCCTTCCCATCCTAGTCCCCTCTCCCTAATGTAAGTACTATTAACAATTTCCTATGAGTTGGTCTAAAAAGATTTTGTGCCTTCTGCCACCCCTTAGCTTTTGTATATCTTATCAAAAAACGTATACAAAAGGAATCATATAATGAATGCCACTCTTCATCTCAGCTTTTTAAACTTCTATGTCAAGTAAAAAAAAATTTGCCATATGAGCACTCATAGATTCAGCACATTTTTAAATGGTAGTTCCATTTTTTTTGACCATGTGGCTGCATAAAGATTCCTTTAGTCTGTCTCCTATTGATGGATACTTCAGTTGTTTACAGTTTCTGCTGTCATGCAAAATGCCCTCACAGGCATCTTATACATCTTGATGAATATTTGTGAGTACATCCAACAGGGAACATTTCTAGTCATGGGATATCTGGGTCGAAATGTATGTTAGTGCTTTTTAAAGTTAATTAAATATGGCCACATATCTTCCATAAAGGTCTACTAGTCTAAATTTTTGCTAACAGCATATAAAGTGCTGGTTTCCTCTCAATTCACTGACACACTCAAAGAAAATGAACATGAGAATGACCCAGTTGCGAGAGACTTGCAGCTATCAATTTCATATTCATTCAGTCGTTCATTCATCAAATAGTCTTGAGCACCTACTATGTGCCAGGCATGGTTCAAAGTGATAAGGATTCAGCAGTGAACTAAAGACCCTTCCTGCAATCAACTGAGCTTTCAGGGTTGTGGGGGCCACTGGTGATAAACAAATAAATACACTCTTTCAGGGTCTATAAAATGAAGCAGGGTAGGGAGACAGAAAGTGGCAGGAGGGGGTGGTAGGAGATGGCTAATTTAAAGAAAGTGGCCAGGGAAGGTCTCTGATAAAGTTGCAGGTGAGTAGAGACCTGAGGGAAGTGAAAGAAATTATGTAGATGTTGAGGGAACATTCTAGACAAAGAAGCAGACACAGAGACCTTGAGTGTGCCTGTTGAGAGAGTGCTGAGTGCTGAGAACAAAGAGGCCCATGTGGCTCGAGCACAGCATGCGAGGGGCAGTGTTCAGAGCCACAGTCAGAGAGGTAGTGGGGGCTGGATCATGTGGACATGGAAGGTGTACTGAGGACTTTGGGTTCCACCCTGAGTGAGAGAGAAAGCCCCCAGAAGGTTTGGAGGGACGTGATCTTTCTGGAGTCTTTAAAAGGGGTCCTTATGGGGACTATGTAGAAAATAAAGTGTAGTACGCTGATGGGTATCATTTGAAAACCCCTGATATGGAGTACAGATCACTGGACCAGGGTTCAGGAGACCTGCATCCGAGCCACTGACTCAGTATTTTGGGCTTCTCTTTCATTACCTGTACGAAGGGGTCAGACTAGCTGATGACTGATGGGGGCCCTTTCAGTCCTGCATCCCTGCCAACTCTTCCCTTGAGCCCTTTCTACATTTATTTGCAATTCAATGAAGGAGATTTTTCAGTGATGGGAAACAAGTACTTCCAAGTCTGGATTTGGGGCCCATATATATGTTTTTTCATTTGGGACTTCAATGCACTCCACGGTCTCATCCTGCCCTTGTTTATTAGAAATGGTAGGACAGTGCTGAGGGGTCAGGTTCCAGCTGTCTGGGCAGTGGCTATGGTGACAATTGGATTTAATTTCTCCTTGGTGGCTTTATTGAATGTTGCATCTTACTCGGAACTAGAGTGCCATCTACTTTGTTAGACAGATTGGAGGACATGAACCAATAAGCCTCTCGGATTGTCTTGCTCAACTTCTGACTGCTTTAGTTGAGGAGCTGGAATCAAATAAAATAATTCAGGGGTCATGTTAGGACAGAGTCAGATTTCCCAGAAGTTGTGCCCAATACACTGAGAAACCGGCATGTGTGGACACAGGCTCGGCAGGCCACATCCCGTTCTTAGCTATTCCTCACTACATGGTGTGCTCATTTGTTCTCAGTCTTCTGAAGGAGGTTGTTAAGGGAAGGGCAGGTGCCCACAAGGGCTGGAATTCAGTTTTTTATAGAGGGCATGGACTAAATTTTCCCATAGCCTGTCTTGATGCTTCCATTCTAGGGCTAGGTCTACACTGGCAATATGGAATAAGTTAGAACAATTGACTATACAGTTCAGGCTAAACTTAGAATCTTATGTGTCCGAATGTAAAGATAATTGAAGCCAATTGGGCTTGAATTGTTTGGAAAGCCCATTTTATTTGCTAAATAGTGATCAATCTGAGGGTAGCCCCCCCAAGAACTCTGAGAAATGGTCACTCTGTAAGTGACCATTAAATTGTCAAGGGAAAAGTACTCTGGAGGTTATTTGACAAATTTGGATTTTATTACCGTGAAACCTATGACCATCTCTCAAGGCTCTCAATAAATGGCCTGGGAAGAAGCTGAATTTCCTCTCTGTGTGAGAGGTCAGAGTGACAAGGAAAATAAGACTGTGGCTCAAACCTGAGGTCCACTACAGGCCAATAGAAATGGGGGTAGAATCTCATTACTTATGTACAGGAAAATTCTGCTGTCAGCCTGACAATCTCACCTTAAACACAATACTCTCAGGTGAAGTCTCACTTGCTAATCGGCCACCCAGAGAGTTCTCACCCCATTTCTTGGCAGAATTGTAATAGCTTAAAGTGTAATGAGGTCTTGAATTACTAGGGCCATCATGTTTTATAAAATACTCTGCAAAAGCCTTAGCAGAACACACCTTTATAAACACCTCTGAACAGAATGACAAATGGTTTTGGATAGGCAATATGTTTGGAGATAAATATGATTTTTAAAAATGACATTTCTTACTTAAATGTTGTATAGGCTGTCAAGGATAAACAAGTTTGAGGTAGGTGTATCCTTTGTAACCAGTCTATATTAAAAAGACAAAAAAAAAAAATCAAGATGAATGGTAGCTCCATTCTGTTTGCGGCAAAGTAGACCAAAGTCTGGAAAAATCAGTGGGCCTTCAAACCACAACCCAAAGGACAGTAAACCCAAATACTTGCCCTCTCCAAACCACACCAGAGGATGGAACTTTCCCTTGGGATCGCTTTTCCCAGACATTCATTTTACTTCCGGAGAGAATCAAAATCAATAGAAACACTAAGAATTACACTGAACTCTATTACGGTCTAAACTGAAAGAAAACAAATAGCCTTAGTTAATTAGGAAGTGGCTGACATATGCATTCTCTTACTTAGTTAATGAAAATTATAATGCAGACATATTTAATAGCAACTAATGATACATATTTGCTTTTACTGATTAGCTGTCTAAGCCACTGTTGCTAGCCAGGCAAATTCAAATCCTTCGTGAGGGCGCTTAGGGCCACCGGATTCCAGTCTGACATCTCACTGCTTCCTTCCACACACAGGGGCCACCTCCCCCAGAACCTCCTGGTCCCTCTGCTTCCTTTCAGCTTCCATGCCTTTAAATACTAACAAGGCTGGCCTTTCTGCTGAGAATAGTGCTACTCCCTCATGGCTGCTTGTCTAAGTCATGGACTTCACTAACATTCCTATAAAAGACCTGCTCTTCTACTGAGTCTGCTTGAGTCTCCAACTAGACGCCAACTCCTTCTCTGAGTGGCATGGGCAAGATCGGAGGTCCACTCCCAGACTCCAGGCCCAGTGGCCGTAGCAACAGCAGAAGAAGGCAGCTAACGTCTTTTACACCTGTGGTGCAAGTGCTCGACCTGTCGTGGCTCAGTTAATCGTCTCAACAGCCTCTTGGCTGGGAGGTGCTGGTGTCCCTCTTTTACGGTCCTGAAGACCGAGGCCCAGAGGGCTAAGTCCTTGCCCATGGTCATGGAGCTCATAAATGTGAAAGCTAGGATTCAAATACACGTAGTCAGAAATCCTTAGTCCGGGCTGCCCCTGTCTTGAGGGGGGGAATGTGTCCAGTTCATCTTTGCCTGGGCGGTGGCATTAAACTCAGCACCTAGTGCTGGCCCAGAACTCATCTGGATAAACAATGACTGATTTAGTGTGTCTCTGTGAGATGGTGGATGTCAACTACGCTTGACGTGGTCACTGTTTCACAGTATATGTAGGTCAGACTTTTGTGCCGTACACTTGAAATCATACAGTGATGTGTGTCAATTATAGTTCAGTAAAGCTGGGGAGAAAACCCCAAAACAAAACAAACAGGAATGGACACAGTGGGGTAAAGACTAGCTCCTCTTTAGCTCTTGGCCCCCGTGACCCGTGAAGCAGGCCCTCAGCTTTCCTGGGCATCACGGGAGCCCATAACGAAGCAATTTGCTGAGTCCTGGGCCTAGAATGAGTTTTCTTTTCTTTTCTTTTCTTTTTTTTTTTTAATTTTATGTTATTTTAGTACGAGTTTTCTTTTCTAATGTTTGGCCAGTGATAACACATACTCATGACAAGTCTAGGAGCGCACTGCACCTCCAACCTCTCTCTCCTTGCAGATTTTTTTTTTTTTTAAATTAATACAAAACTCTGGGATAAGCATGCTGCTTTCAGGATTAGCCTTAATTTTTTTTTTTTAACATATTCCCCAAAGAAGGTCATTTATTTCTTTTTCTTTTCATTTTTAAATGAAGAAATGTTAAGAATTTAGGAATGCAGACACAGATGAAATTGCAATGTCTTTCCAAATGCCAACAAAAATGCTCAGAGTCTGATGAGATTCCCTGTGGCATGAGTTTGTTTAAAGAATCCTGTCAATTCACTTTCTTGTTTTTGTTGGCGGATGGAGGTCTTGTAAGTCACTAACTTGGAGTTCTTCACATCTCATCCTCTAGGTATTGCCGGGCAGGTGTCCATAGATGCCAACGGAGACCGGTATGGGGATTTCTCCGTGATCGCTATGACAGACCCCGAGGCAGGCACCCAGGAGGTGAGTAAATTACACCCTGCCTCGGCTGCTCCTCCTGCTTGTTAAGATTCCAAGGAATGCATTTGTCCCCATGTCCACATAGCTGTCCCCAGCGCAGCCTCCAAATAAAAATGAGCTGAAAGTCTTGGTGTTTCTGAGTAGGGAGGGCTCACTTCTGGTTGAGGATATCCTGGATGATTTCAAGAAATGGTTCCATGTTTACCCTCAGTGGGCAAATGCTATGTTTCCAGTGGCCAAGTGTGCTTCTTTGATGGCTGTCACCCAGAGTTGATGTTCCCATGGCACTTGATGGGACCTGGCATAAGGGACTTGTGCTTTTCTCCTAGTGCACATGTATCGGGCCTTTGTGGGAAGAGCAGAGCCAGCAGAACCTGGCACTTGCTACATTTACATTACATTACTGCTTCTTTAACCCTTGGAGTGGGTCTGGGTCTTGTGGACATTCTGGTCTCTCCCTCTGTGAAAGGTGGATAGTAATCGTCCATTGTAGGGTGGCTGTGAACATTCAGGAGTGGATGTGTGTAAAGTACTTGGTAAGTGCTCAGCACATGCCAGTGATCATTAGATTTTGGTGATTATCTAGAATTCTTTTTACTACGACAAGAACTAGCCTGTGGAAGCTTGCTGGGCCTCCATCAGGAGAGAGAGGGGCGACATCACAGGCCACTCAGGGAGCAATGTGCGGGTGCCCAGCAGAAAGAGAAGCAGATCCCGAGAACCTGGGTGGGAAGGTACTTCCAGATCAGGGCTCAGGTAGCTGGTGAAACATTGGTTTGAACCAGAAACTGTGGATAAACCTTGAACTGAGTCAGCAAGGAAGACTGTGTCAGTTGAAAAAGAGGGTTCAGTCTGGAAATGGGGGTGCAAATAGGTAAATTCACCAGAGAGGAGAATGTAACTCCTGAAGTCACGGACTAATCTTCCAGCCAGAGAAGGGTGAAAGAGGATGTTCCTAAAAGACACTTTCTCTTTTTTTTTTTTTTTAAAGATTTTTATTTATTTATTTGACGGAGAGAGACACAGCGAGAGAGGGAACACAAGCAGGGGGAGTGGGAGAGAGAGAAGCAGGCTTCCTGCTGAGCAGAGAGCCCGAAGAGGGGCTCGATCCCAGGACCCTGTGATCATGACCTGAGCCGAAGGCAGACGCTTAACCTACTGAGCCACCCAGTGCCCCCTTTTTGACTCTTTATATGCCCAGCTGATTGAGTAGTATGAGGCCGTGCACCTGTAATGGTTTAATCTGGCTATGAGGTGAGCCCCGACTCTCTCCCACATCCCTGAAAGCAATCTGGGCTTTACAAGCGGCTGAATGCATGGGCTGCGCGGTGGCGGATGGCAGATGCGTGGAGCAGCACCTCCTCTGATGAGCAAGGGAAAAGCCATAAATTCTGAGATTGTTGTTTTCTGTATAACCACTTTCCTGCCATAGGGAGCCACAGTTCTCCCTAAATTATGCTTACCTTAAAAGCACCATTAGTGACTGCAAATCTTGATTTACGAAGTCCTCAAAAAGACATCATTATAGTCAGAGTGATGGGGCGCCCACCCTATGCCTCCTTTGGAAACAGAGAACTTTGAGCTTTCAGTTTGCACATTTGTTTTTTGCTTTTACATAGGTCATTGGTGATTACTTTGGAAAAGAAGGTCGTTTTGAAATGCGGCCAAATGTCAAATATCCTTGGGGACCTTTAAAACTGAGAATAGATGAGACCAGAATTGTGGAACACGCAAACAGCTCTCCTTGCAAATCATGTAAGTTTAGAGACTTAATTTGCTCTGCTTTTCACCGTCTGCACTATCACCATGATGCAAGTTTAAAAGACAGATTCTATCCAGGAGCTCATATTCTGAAAGTCCACCTTCCTTTTTCTGATGTGGTAAAATCCATGGGAACAGTTCACAAACCGGCATCCCACTTTCATCAGATGTTTCTAGGTCTTTCTTCTTTTTTTCAAAATGGTAGAAGACCTCTCCCTATTATTACACCTCTTACCATAATACAATCTCTTCACATTTGAGATGTCCACCTAGGGAAAAGAAAAAGATCCCATATTAAATGTGTAGCAAGTCTCATTCTGATTTTCAGAGTTTGTAGGTGTCCTCCTATCCCTCAGAACCAAACAGATAATGTCCCTTAAACACCCTCAGATTTACAAATTGGCAAATCAGTGTAAAATAGCTATTTATGAGTGTTTTGTTTGGATATCAAACAAACATAAATGTAGAAGCAAGTGGACATTCTTTTTTTTTTTTTTTAAAGATTTTATTTATTTATTTGACAGAAACAGCGAGAGCAGGAACACAAGCAGGGGGAGTGGGAGAGGGAGAAGCAGGCTTCCCGCTGAGCAGGGAGCCCGATGTGGGACTCG